GTGTCGGAGTGCCCATGAATCCAGGAATATATCACCGGACTGCCTTCATGAAGTGCCGGAGTGCCCATAAATCCATGAATGAAATCGCCGGATTGCCTTCATGAAGTGCCAAAGTGCCCATGAATCCAGGAACATATCGTCGGACTGCCTTCATGAAGTTGTTGGAGGGCCTATGAATCCAGGAACATATCACCAGACTGCCTTCATGAAGTGTCGAAGTTCCCATGAATATAGTAACATATCGCCGGACTGCCTTCATGAAGTGCCAGAGCGCCCATGAATTCAGGAACATATCGTCGGATTGCCTTCATGAAGTGCCGGAATGCCCATGAATCCAGGAAGATATCGTCGAACTGCCTTCATGAAGTGCCGGAGTGCCCATGAATCCAGGAACATATTGTCGGACTGCCTTTATGAAGTGCCGGAATGCCCATGAATTCAAGAAGATATCACCGGACTACCTTCATGAAGTGTTGGAGTGCCCATGAATCCAGGAACATATCGTCGGACTGCCTTCATGAAGTGCCAGAGTACCCACGAATGAAATCGTCGGGCTGCCTTCATGAAGTGCCGGAGCGCTCTACATGAAGTACCGGAGCGTCTTCATGAAGTGTCGGAGTGTCTTCATGAAGTGTCGGAGTGCCTTCATGAAGTGCCTGCTACTCCTTTGCAACCTGAAGATTCTTTGTAGCATCATGAACATATGCATCTGCCTTCACCATATTGTGCTCGATGTTATCTATCTCTTCCCCCTGAACCTTAACCAAAACTGCCATGTTAAAAAATATCTGATGCAGCTCCATCAAATTCTTTTCTATCTCTTTCATTGCATTATCTCTCTCTATCACCTCCTATCTCAACAATTCAAGCCAAAGACCAATTAGTTGCCTCACTATTGGGTTCATCTCAGTAAACCACAAACATGCAAAGGAGAATTCTAACTAGTGTAATAATATAATAATACTCAAATTTGGAAACCAAATTAATTCAAAAAATATTTACCCTCTGTTTGATTGATCTCCTATCTCAATGAGTCAAGCAAAGCTCAAATGTACCCATTATTAGTTCATCACTAAAGCACAACCATCTAAGAGTAGTTATAACTAGTGCTATAAAAATCAGACGTTTGGAAAACCAAATTAAAACAATAGTTTCTCACTACTTTATTCAGTTATGTCTCAACAATTCAAGCAACACTAAAAAATCACCTACTATTCATTTAATCTCACTAGACCACAAATATTGAAAAATGACTATAACACATCATTCAAGACAGACACTAGGAAAATCAAATTGATATGCGGAGAGTAGTGTTTCCCCTCTCAATAACTTATGCAAACCCAATTTCCAACTATTTGGTACATCTCACAAAACCATAACTATGTAAATCTCTATGCTGTTACATATCCCATCACAGTAATTGATGCAAATTACAAAATTCGCCTGCGAGTAAATACATCTCACTAAACTAAAGCAATGTTAATAACTCCACTATCATAAAAAAACCAATAAATGTGTGAATGACCCAATTGTTCATTTCCATCCCAATCAATCCAAACTCTCCACATATTATTCCTCCATTCAATTGATCATGCAAATTCAAACTATGTAAGAGTGGTTCTAATCAGCATCATTAAAACCAGACTAAAAGATCAACTTATGTATTGAGATCATTAATGTAATAAACACACCTACGCAGAGTAACTATCATGGAGTGTAAGCATGGATAATAAAAAAAGGAAACACATTATTCAAGGACATAGACATGTAAAGTCAGTATCCATGTCAACTGCAAATGTTTAGGCTTTTGCCCTCCTAGAGATATAGGATTGGTTAACCAGATAAGAAGAAACATGAAGTCACTGCCGACTTCTACTAGCCATAATGTGTTAAGATGAATAGAAATTAGAAAGAAGACGAGACCAACTGCTAGAATAAAAGCTATTGCTACCATCCAAATGTGTTACTTCATCCTTCTACAAGAACATTTATAGACTATCATCAGCTATGGAACAAGTTGGACTGCCAACCACGGCCTTGAACTTATTAAAGAGAAATGCTACTATAGATGCAAATTCCAGCCTTCTCAAGTTCTATATTTTTGGGATAAAGTCTATTGGGATGAAATTCAAGGGACATAAATATGGCTATTCTCCGACTTTTAGAGAGACACTGGCTCACCAAATTACTTTGAACAAAATAATTGATTCAGTAACAATTACAAGGAGATAAATAAATTGCTCATTCATGATGCACTAGAAGTGCATAAATCAACTTCAAAGTCAAGACTCATAATATATTCCATGCATACGCAAGACACAGGGGACTTCCTGCTTAGATAGGCATCAAAAACTAGTTGTTGTTGTTCATTTCAGCCATACTTATATCCCTCATATCTCTAGATATTTATGTCAAACTACTTAGTGAAATGGAATGACACCAATGCAATGAAATAGTCGCAATAATGCTTTATATATATATATATACAAACACACACATACACATATGAAAAAAGTTTATATAAGGTTGAGGCCCTAAACACATATATGTTCTTCAAATGATTAGATCTACAACAACCGGATAGAGAACATATCAAAACTTCACCAAACAGGCCACAAGCTCACATGAACTACATTGATAAATAATACATTGAGCTGTTTGCAGATTTCATTTGCTTCTATTAACATAACGACAACAAAAAAGAATGAACATTTCATTAACTGACTATTATGATAAAGTAGCTTCAAATGTACAAAAATAACTTAACATATGTCCCAAAAAAAGAAAAAGAATTTAATATATGTCTCAAAAAAAGGTTCATAACCTTTTCAATTTACATTTTTAGGTACATCTAAAAAGTATATGTCAAAATGAAAAATACATGATATTCACTTTCTTGGCCTCAACCATTTTTGGGGCCAACTTGCAATACCCTTGCCCTTGTCATTTATGCTCTTTGTTTTCCTCTCATTTTTCTCATCAATCTCGCTCTCTCTTTCCTCATCTGCACCATCTGCATCCTCAATCTCTCTTTCCTCATCTCCACCATCTTCCTCCTCATTTCTTCACTTTCTTCCTCCTCACTTTTGCTTTCGCCATCTCCACCATCTCTCTCCTTGCCCTCGCTTCCACAATTTCCTCGGCACTCTCTATAGGAGTATGCTGTAATAACAAATCGTGGGTTGTCTGTACATAATTTCTAGATTCCCCTGCTAATACTTCAGCATGAAGTGCAGCTTGTAGGATCTATATACAGGTTAATCGCTGCAAGTAGACAATAAAAAACAATATAAATAACTGATTTGAATAGAAAATTATTTTAAGTCAATGAAAACTAAAATATATAATATATCAATCTCCTCTCATCATCATGGCCTGCGAGGGGGGCAGGGGGCATTTGATTGCGACTGCGGGGTAGACCGACCTTCTCCCTCATCTCCCACTTGGGTAGCCCAACAAGAATCACTTGCATATTTTCATATTGCA